TCAGAAAGCCCTAATTCATTAATTACTTATTCACCGTCTTGAGGCAATCTAGCTGTTTTAGAGACTTGTTACTGGATTCTTTGTAGGTTGGCTTTTATCAGGGAAAAGGGATGACTCACTGGAGGTCAGGCAGGATGGCACAATACACCAGGTGTGGTAAATAGGAACTTCAGAAGGCAGGTCGTAACAGCAGCAGCAGATAAATCAGAAAGTCAGCTCACACACAACATGATCTAAGATTCCCTGAGTAAGAAGTTTTAGAGAAGTTTTTTGAAGTAGTAACGTAGATGAAGTGATTTTTATTAGATCAGGACGCATTTATTTTTATAAGTCCTGCAGGCTACTATTCAGAGCTTCTGATTATGGCAATTTTATTTAAATTATTAGTTAGAAATTTCTCTGCTTATTGACCTGCACGCAGCTGGGCACCAGTGAGGTGTGTTTATTGCCAAGATGTGGAAGACAAGCACTAAACCTGGGGCTTTGTAACTGGTAACACCACAATGGTCCTTGCAGCTTTGTTGCCATCACAATGCAGCAGCCCTGTCACTTATGCCTGTCTAGTGTTCAAGGGTGAGAGAAAAGTTGTCTTTTCTCTCACCCAAAAGGTTGGGTCAGCAAGAAAGCAGAAAGCACAGGTTGGAAGCTGTGTTTCAGTTCCCTTTGCAGCCCAAAAGGTAAGTGTAAACTGGAAGAAATTACTGTTGATGCTGCTAAGGCCAGGAGCCAAAAGGGCGCTTCAGGCTGAGCTGTGGGTTTGTTTCCCTGGCATGATGAGTTAGCCCAGTGCTCCACTTGGGCCAGCCAGCTCTGCTGAGAAGCTGTGCACATCTGGTCAGATGAAATTACATTGCAAGCCAGCCCTTGTGGTAACAGAGGTAGCTCGGCCAGAGCTGGCATCAGCGTTTTGTACTGAACCAAATTGTACTGCATGGACATCTTCCGTCTTCCTATCTCAGGGCTGGCTTCTTCTGGATTAGGGATGAAGTCTGCTACTGGTAATACCTCTGCTACATCCCTTCTTTAAACAAAAATTCTCATGGGTTTCTCAACAGAGTCCTGTAACCTTATTTAATTCAGCCTCCACAAATAGCAGCTTACAGCACTTAAGGCTAACCAAATACCTCTCTATCTCTGTCAAAAACTGGAGTAATTATTTTACTGGAGATCCTTAGCTTCCTGCTGTTGTGTTTTATTACTGTTACGCAGAGCACACCACATGCCTCGGGGAGCAGTAAGTGCTACTGTATGAATTACATCAGCACAGAGTGCTGCCAGTTTTGCTTTGGTGCATCACTCACAAACTGTGAGGGTGTCCAAGGCCCTGGCTCATACTGCTGACCTGAAGGGATCAAACATCTTGAATGACACCTGAAAACAGATGTACAGTTTGGTCTTTACCACCGTGACCCCTCTGCAAACTGCTGGAGGAGCTGCAATCCCAACTCAGCCCTGCAGTTTTACTGAGATGCCATTCTGAACATGCTATTCATTTCAAAAAGCTGGTTTTGATGCAATAGGACCATTTGAAAAGCAACCCCAGTCTGCACAGCTGCCAACCTTTGCCTTCCCCCTTCCTTGTCTCTGTGATCTGCTCGGGGGGATGTTCCAATGACATCCTCCTCATAAATAATCCCAGCTCAAGCAGCTGCTGTGGGGGTCCCCTGGTACTCTTTGCCTTCCCCCTGATCCCACCTCCCACGATCCCGTACTGTTCCTGATAACCCTAAGCAATCACAAAGGTAAATCAGACCCTGCTCCCAGGACCCACAGAACAAGCTCTCAGGTTGATCCCAGAACAATACCCATCTCTCCATCTCAGCCAGACTTCTCGCACAGCTTTCCAGCTCCTCATAGCAATATCTAGTTTCTTTGCTTTTTGGAAATTTTCCATTCCCATGACCTCTAGCCCTCTGAGAAGGGCTCTGGATCAAGCCACTTTTTCCAGGTTTCAGCTAGCTTGCTGCAGTTAGTGATTCCACACCTCTCATCTGCCAATCTCCAGCCTCTGGCAGGAAAGGGACATCTCCATGTAGGAGCATTGTGCATCATAACATTTTCCAGGAAAACTCATAGCATCAGACAGTTAACAAGGTTCCTGCAAAGGAATTCCTAGAGTGTGCCACAGGAGTACAGTCATTTCCAGAAGAATTGGTAGAAAATCAGCTATGTCTAAAGAATGGAATATAATAACTGCTCATGTCACATCTTACACTTGCCTTTCCATACCTCTGTGTCTCTAAAACTGCCTGGGTTCAGGGAGTTTGTGGGAGAGCTCATGAGGTGAGGTAAGGTCACAAATCCTACCACATATGTATTCAGAACTTTGAAACAAGAGAAGGAGGCAGCTGAGGTCTTTAGAATATTATCACAGCCTGATAATATTCTAAAGCAGGATTTCACAGGCCTTGAGGAATGAAAAGAGGAAAAAAAACAGTTGCAACAGAGCCACTTTCAGCACAGGCAATGGGAACTGCTACTGAAGGACAAAGGGAACAAAAAAGAATGATTACGAGCTCCAGTATTTTATTGGTGAGTTTAACATCTGGTTAAACAGTACATACATTTGGAACTAGACATCCAGTAGCTCCCATATACAAATGATCACGGTGCATTGGCAAATTCACAGGGCAGAAGGGAAAGCCATTTAAATGATGCAGGCTCCCAGGAGCAGGACAGACAGTAGTAGGTAAGCAGGTCAGCTGAAGGAATGGGAGGGGAATGAAGGAGAGTGTGGGATATCCAAGCTCTAGACATCTGCCTTCCCTAGCTCAAATTAACCAGCTAATTCCCCCAGGTGCTCTCTAGAGAAGCAAGCTTCTCCAGAGGACAATTCACTGCAAATATTATACTGCTGCTCTACACAGCTCCCATGAATTTGTTTCCTAGGGAAATACTGCTCTCACCAGCAACTGCAGAGCCTGCTCAGGGAGATGTGCTAATTCTGATGCCTAGAGATGTGTGAATCTCCTTTCCCTTTTCCCTCACTCCCTAACTACCCATTATGAATTAGCAGGTAAGCAAGTGGCATTCACCCTATATTCACAGATCAGGAGTTCATCAAGGAACAGGAACTTTCACTGGCTGTCATACCTAGCAGACACACACAAGAAGATTCTAATCCATTCTAATCCCAGATTAACTGTTTGTCTTTTGCCAAAAATCCACTTTTCCCCCTCACAGAGCATCAGATCTGCCCATGCCATGTTCAACACAGTGGCAGAGAAGTCCCTGTGATTACTCAGTAAGGTATCCATTTGGGTGGACAAGCACAGATCTGCCTGCAGAAATCTGCTGCCAACTCACATAAGTCTCAATCCACTGAAGGCAACATGAGAATTTTCACTGATTTTAACAAATAGGGTAGATTTAAGCAAATGTCACATGCAGAATTCATCAACCTTCACACATCAAGCTCCAGTCATTGCTAAAAGCTGACTGATTTGGGAGAAAATTGTACAGATTTTTCTTTCTTTTTTCCAGCAGACTGAATTGTATCCAACTCCTGAATGAACATTTACCCAAAGGAAGACTTTTAATTGTCAATATTGACTGGCTGCAATTATGTATACATTCACAACATATATGCTCCCTTATTAAAAAATTGCCCAAATGCTAAAATAGAAAAAGAAATACTATTTTGGTTTGAAAGAACAATTGCATAGACTGAAGTTGGCTTCTGTATTAATACAGCACCAGCAGATGCTGTAATTAGAAAGTAAAAGGCAACCAGAGGAATTGTTAATAGCATTGTGCAGTGCTTAGGCTTCTAAAACTAAAATGCTTCTTTAGGGAAGTGATAATGTTTTCATATGTGATCCTGTGACTACAGTAAAAATGCTGAAGACCCATTCCCACAGGTGTCATATGCTATAACCTGGGCTGGTTTTGGCTGGGGTAGAGCTAATTTGATTCAGAGTAGCTAATATGGGGCTGTGTTTTGGATTCTGCTGGAAACTGTTGATAACACAGGGATGTTTTGCTAAGCTGTGTTTACAGAGCCTCAAGGCCTTTCCTGCTTCTCACCCCATCCCACCAGCAAGTAGGCTGGGGGTGTACAAGAATTCGGGAGTGGACACAGCCAGGACAGCTGACCACAAAGCAATATTCCATACCATATGGTATATAAAGCTGGGGAAGGAGAATGAAGGGGGGACATTCAGAGTGAAGGTGCTTATTTTCCCGAGTAGCTGTCTTGTGTGATGTAGCTCTGATTTCCTGGGAGTGGCTGAACACCTGCCTGCCCATCAGAAGCAGTGAATGAATTCCCTGTTTTGCTCTGCTTGCATGTGCAGCTTTTGCTTTAGCTGTTAAACTGTCATTATCTCAATCCACCTTTTTTCCCCCTCACTATTACCTTTCTGATTCTCTCCCCCATCCCACTGAGGTACAATAAGCAAGCAGCTGCCTGGTGCTTAGTTGCCAGCTGGGGTTGAACCACAACATAAACACATGGATATATTTGCAAATTGCTGTTTTCTACAATGCTATTCTAAATGTATCACTATTCCTAATGAATTTCTCTGTTTCCAGGAGTGTGTTAATGATTTTCTTTTCTTAAACGCAAGACACTTATTATTTTTTGCTATGATTCACTCCCATGCTGAATTAGAACACAAATGAAGAAGAATAATATGCAGCTTCCAGTACAAAACCAAAAATATTTAGGTTCAGTAGAGAGCAGGCAGACAATGCATTATTTCAATGCATGTTTCTCATATCTGCTGGGAACAGATTTCTAGGTTGCACAGGGCACCAGTGAAACTGAATGAAATCAACACCTCTCTATCAAGAGACAAGACTCTTCATCTATTCTGGTTTGATACCAATACAGATTTAATTTGACCATAGTTGACCTCTAGTGTGAAAACTAGCCACTCCCCAAAAACCCAAAGGGCTGAACTGCAGAAGTTTGTATCTCCTCCCCATGGTAACAGGTATGCTCTAATCAGAGCAAACACACAGAACTATTCAGGGCAATTGGAAGAAAAGGTCAAGACTGCGGTGGCACAAGTTCTGTATTTCAAGTGAAGAGGTGGAAAACGGAACTGGAACTTCATTCTCGAAAATAGTACATGAATACTATTGAGATGTTCATTTCCAGACACATCTGGAATGGGGGGACAGACCCTGGGAGAGAGAATTACATATAGTATTTACAGTCCTGCAGGATCTACTGTCAGGGATATTCCCAGCTGAATCACAGGAAAGCTTGCTGTTGCTAGGTTCCTAACTACCTGAAAGGACAGGGATGCATCAGAGCAGGGGATATGCTTTGGTCTGGTGCAAACCAGAAGGCACAGGGTATAGCCCAGACTCTTCCAGAACACCTGGAGAGCCCAGGAATCACAAGTAGTCAAAAATAAGGTAATTAAACAGAAATAGCAGCTGCTTGATGACAACAGTGAGTTCTAGCCCTACAGCTTTTCTGTCTGCCGTGTTCTTCCTTCCCTAAGAGCAGTCTCAGGAATAGATTTTCTCTGGCTCTTCACAGTACTGTTGGATCACCTCGGCAAGGTCAAGACACCGCAGAATTCGCCATTTCTCAGCAGCCAGCTCCTCCTTGGAGACCTGGCCCAGCAGTTTCTTGGCAAAGAGGTTCTGATCCTGCATGAAAAGGCCCACAGAAGACCTTGGGACTTCAGGGAGGTTCTCCAGGCAACCACTTGTGAAACAGAAGTTGATTTTCTTTTCACGTCTCATCCCTGGTCCTCTTTCTTCAATCCAAGTCAAGGGTCTAGTGTGAAGGAGCAGTGAAAAAGTATTAATTAAGAAATTAAATCAACAATTCTAATTTGTTTGGGTTGTTTTATCAGTATTTGCAGAAAATGCCCTAATAAATGCACCATTTTTGAATATCAATTATAGCATATTTAGGCAATGTGTCATGACCAACATGCCTTGTGGTTATACAGCTCAACAGCAGATAATAGTCTTAACTCTGCCGCTGTTTCATGCCATGATTTTCAGCACACCATCTAAGCTCTGTCCAGCTTTGTTTTCCCCATGCACAAAGTGAAGCAAGCAACATCAAGCTACGTCATAAGGAAGAGGGAAGTTTGTGGGCTGTTTGTCTGTGGACTTGGATGAAAAGTGCAGTTAAAATTTTTGTACATAATTCAGTCACAGCTAAACTCAAAAGGCCCTCAATGTCTAGTCATTCCTCCAGCAAGAACAGATAGATTTAAATCACACGGGTACATAATGATGACCCAGGTGCCACTAAGCGAGCTGAATCCCAGTGAACAAATTCACTGACACAGACACAAGTGTCCATACTCTCTAAACTTTAAAAATGCTTCATTCTCATCACTGGGAGTACTTTGCTGATCCTAAGAATTATACCCACACAGACTCTCAAGCAAGCCTTTCTTAATCAGAGCAGAGTCCTGTCTTACATCAACATGATAGCACAGTCTCCAAACCATGCCTGGTGGTATTGGCTATTGACTTGCATAGCTCACACCTTCCTTCCCAACTCTCCATCTTGGCTGAGAGGAAAGGACATGCTGTGCCACTTCAGGGCTCTTAACAGACCCAACACTGCAATGCCTTTGAGAAACAGCCCTCAACATCAGCCACAGTCAGAATGCTCCCTTCCTGGTCTTTTGTCAACTGCCTGAACCGTACCATTGCCTTTCTGCAGCTCATTCATCAGCACTCACTACTACCTGTGTTTAGAGGATGCACATTATTTTTCTTACTTGGTTATTGATGGCCCTTCCACACTCCTTTATGGCCTACTTTAGTCTGCCACTCACAAATTATGAAGGCATCAATAGCCTGGAAGAATAAATTCTGTCTCCAAGTACTGCCCATTAAATCTTCAGTATCATTAGACCTGGAAAGAAAGTCCTTGTCAATCTGCCCTGAACATATTCTGCAGAGTGCTCACCTTAATGTTTCTGCACCTCTCATCTTTTATACTCCAGGATTCAGTTTCTATACTTGTATCATCATATCAATTATTCTTTGCTCACCTGTACTTCCACATCTCCACCACTTCCCCTACAAATTAAGCATGGCCAGATAAACCTGACTGAACAGAATGAAACAACTGGAGGGGGAAAAAAATACCCAAATCACAGTCTGCAAGAATGCACCAAAAAAAAAAATCTCAGAAGACTAATAAATGCAAAGACACCATGTGTTTTAGGAAGACTCAGGACTATATGTTACTGCAAGCCAGAAGGGTGTTTGGGGGGCATATTGCTCAGTGTTTTCAATGTTTCCATCCTACTTCCCTGAGGTAAAGGCCGTTGATCTGAGTCAGAGGCAGGTTGCTGAGCAAGCTGGGCTTTGCTCTGACTTGACAGAGCCGGTTTTATATTCCTATGATAGTAAAGAGTCACAGAGGATTCAGGCCACTGTTACTCAAAGCTGCTTTATCTCAGGTGGGTAGGCATGAAGAAACCACTGGGCAGGCACAGGCAAAGATTTCCATCATGTAATAGCAAGGAGCTCTTGATAGGATCCAAATCAGGCCCTGTCAGTGCAGGATCACCTCCCTGAGGTGATCTAGAGGAGATGCACACCAGTGATCAGGCTCAAGTGTATGCCTTCTGCTCTAGCTTGGGAAGCCACTGAACCAGAAGCACAAACACGCAGAGCAGGCAGAATTTATTCAAAGTGATTAGAATGACTGATTTAGATCAGTGAGGAGGAAAATGTGGGATTTAGTAATATATTTATCTTCTTCTGCAATTGGATTTTTAGTCATATTCCCAAACAGAGGTCGATTCTACTTGATTGGTAAGCAAAGTTCATTCATTTTTAATTAATAACAACTTCTACTCTGAAATAAGCCTCTTGTTTTGCTATAAAGATAAGTATGTTGCAAGCCCACACATTATTTAAGCAATTTTGTAGATTAAGAAACAGATTTGCATTTTATGTCAGAAAATTGTGAAGGGCTGTGGCTTTTTTCATAGACAATTTACCCACTTTCATTAAAGATTTGTATCAAAGTATTATCTAGCTACAGATACACTTAGTTATTTAGAAGTGTTAGTAGAGTTACTTACATGCAACAAATCCAACATTTTTGATATCTGAATAAAGTCAGGTTACATATGTTGGGTAGTTAAAGAAAATTTAATCAAACACTAACAAACCGCCTTTATACTGACTACAAAGCAAACAGGTCTGCAGTGAAGAAAACACCCTGACTTTCTATGGCCATTTTGTCTTTCCAAATTGTAAACTGATAGCATTTTCTCAGCTACATTGAAAAAGACTTTTTGCTTTTATAATTCCCTTTTTCCTCAAATAACAAGTGGACCTCGCTGGACTGCAATAGCTCAACAAACCAATATGAAGCAAACACTCTTTGTACTGCCAGAAGAATTAAGCTGGTTTCGTGCTTGAAAGAATTCTGGGTCCATTCAGCTTAAAGTTTTATGCAGCGACTTCTGCAGAAAGCATCTATTACATAATTTTCTATGAATGTTCAATTTGAAGATATTTAATTATTAGACTCTGAAAGCTTAGCTTTCCACAAAAACATGACTTCAAACATTTCTTGTCAGTATATGTTTAGGAAATGTCTTGAACTTCTTCTAAACATTTTCCTTGTAACTCTTTGAAAATGCCAATATTTTTAATTTATCATTAAATCAATGAGAGGCTCTCTTAGCTTGGGTGAGAATTAGATAATTGGACCCTATCCCTAGTAAACATTAAAAGAAATGCTGCCCAAATCATTATCTCTCCAGCTTGCACTAAAAATTGATTTCTGACATTTACTGAATCCAAGCTTTGTAATCCTGGGACAGGAACTGCAGTCCCAAACCAGACGTGCTGTCAGTAGAGGTTTGGCTCTTCCTGGATTGCTCAATCCTGTATCACAGAGAGGCTATCAGCTCAGCTGTCTTGGACACACAACAGAGGCAGAGGTCATCCCTCAAATAGCTGGGTGAAGGCATTAACATACACCTACCTCCAAAATCCACCTAGAGCCAGACAAGCAGCGAGGGTGGGCTGTGCAGTGGAGACAGACTATACCCTTTACACAAATCCCTGCTTAACAAGCAGAACACAGGCTCCTGCATTCTGCACCTGCTGTATTTTCCAAGGCAGAAAATAGGATGAATTAACCTGATTTCTCAAGGTTACTGTATTCATGTCTTTCAAAAAAGGATTGGATAGCTCTCATGAAAGGCACAGACCTTTCCCATCCTTCAGCAAAATAAGTTTGAGCAAATTAAATCTGTAATGCCACCACCATTACTGCTGGGCCATAACTTCACATGACAGAGAGTGGGCCAAATTCTCTCCTGCAGTAACTCCCTTGACGTCAGTGGGGGAATGTCAGCAGGAAATATGGCCCCAGCACCGAACACAATACAGGAACGCTATGTGATTTTCCACCCACCCTAAATTATCCCAGAGGCATAAAACTGACTGACCCCAAAGTTATTAAAACACTTATGGTGAGAAAACACTGATCCATACAAATAGTAGTCGCCAAGAGAACCAAATATTGGTTAGTGGTGAGGAGCAGGGGAAAAAATGTAATCCAGAACCAGTTCTGTATCCAGCAAATATCAAACATAGCAGCTAAGGACTAGCCAGGAGACAGGACAGCCAGGGAAATGTTTAAACCACCCGCTAGTTCCATCTGCTGGAATTAGTTCAAAATCTCACCCTATCTAGATCTTCACAGCTACTCAGGTTACTAGCAAATTGCTAAGAGGGTAAACAGAGCTTGTATACAGAGTTCTGTCCTCTCACAAGTGCATTTCAAAAGGAATTGGAAATGCTGTTTTATTTAAAGATAGAGGAAGATTGCTAAGACAAGATGATAATCCTACGATAAACTGCAATGGGGTTTCTAGAGTGGCTGATGAAATGCTTAACCAGACCTGTGGCGAAGTTAAGAGTTTAAAGGAGCACTGATTATTCACTGCCCAAATAGCTAGTCCTTCTTGTTACTACTTTACACATTTATCTAAAATACTGGGTTAGGTTTGGGCTTTTTAAGAGGTCTATCAGCATATCTGCAATAAAATAAAAAAGGAACAAGGAGTTCCATCACCATCAGATAATTTCTCTCTACCTTTTCATATCAGGTAATTCTCAAATTGTATCCTGTTGCTTTAAACTGACATTGTAAAAAACTTCAACTTATTTGAAAGGACATGAACTCTGCACAGACGGTCCAGAATGACCAAACCTGAGAGTTTCCACCACTCTCTGAACCAAGCTGAGTAGTCAAGTGACAGAATGAAATACTGGGGACTTACTTCATCGTTATAATATACCACTTTTTAGCAAGGCTATTAAAAATATCCTAGCTGATAGGAAGGATATTGTCACCACACAATAAAAGGGAGATGAAATTCAGTATTATAAAATGCATCTTTAAAAGACATGTACACTTTCATGCCAGCCTCCACCCATTCTGTTTCCACAAGAGGAGAAGAGAACTCCTGCAGGCAGAAGTCCCGCAGATGAGGAGCCTGGCTCACGTGCTGCCATAGACATTACTCACTTCTTGTTTGCCGTCTGAAAGTGAACAGTCATTCTGGAATAATCCTTATCCTTCTGCTTCTCTCTGGTGGCAGAGGTAACAGTGAGGTCTCCAAAGAGGTCAATTAGCCACGTCAGACGAGCAATTCCACTGAAAGCTGGGAATCCTGATTTGTTTTCATCAAGGACACTACCTGGTGGAATAGAAACTCTTGAGGAACAGGAAGTAGAATAATGCCTTCTGCATAGCAAAGGATGAAGAAACTTCAGTGTTGCAGGGTTAAAGATCAGGGTGTAGAAAGGTCAGTGGATGGACTGAATAGGAAAGTCAACAAACACATTTAATGTCGAAATGGATCAGTTGACAAGCTGTGGCAGAGAGGGCTGCACAAAGTACATATACAACAAACCCTTCAGAACATGTTGAGGACAGAAGGGTGTATGTGGATTCAACAAGGGAATTATCTAGAACCAGTACCTGTGTCTCTACTCAGTTTATAGACAGTCTTGTGTGAAAGGACTGAATGAAGCTTGGAAGCACTGGGGAGCAAATCCAGACAGACTTTTGATTTCTTCAGAGCTACTGACCTGTGAAATGCAATGTTCCCTTCACCAGGTCTTTCCCAGCCACTTCTTTTTTCAGCTGCTTGTACTCTTCAGTAAGAAGTTCAATGTGCTCCACATGGAGTACTTTACCTGCCATTAAAATAACAAAACAAAACAAACAAACAAACAAAAATCCACCAGGACAGATTAAATAAAAGTTTTCATGCATGGCTCACAAAGTGATGTCAGGAAGAAAATCAAACATGGAAACATGGGCCCTGAGCTGAAGCATCTATTTGGGTTAAGAATTTTCAAAAGACAACAAATACACAGACTGCAGGAACAGCAGCCACTATGTTTAACAGAAACTCCCTAATGAAACCCAGTACCCAGCTAAGGCTGTAACATGAGTCTTCAGAGTAATGGATGGATTAATTCTTGGCCTCTTTCCCTTCACATTTCCTTGTTCCGCATTTTTCCTCCCAAGGCAGTAAGAAAGAAAAAGGAAGGGGAAAAAATAGCATAATGTTCAGATTGGAACAATATGTTACGGAATACCTCCCTCCAATTGCAATGAATTGGGCTACTTTGAAATAGAGGTTATCCAATACAATTTAAATGTGTACTTCATTCAGTATGTGTTTTTCTGGAAGATTTCCAGGAGAATCATTGTAGGCTGCTAACAGTAACTGCTGCTGCTTCAAGAAAAGAGCCATAAATTCTGCTCAATGGGAAACCATTCGGTGAGCAACAAGGCAGTAACTGGTGTTGGTACAGGGAAACATCAAAGCAGAAATCCTACACCTCCAGTGTTTCAGGACAAAAGTCACAAAGGAGATCTTTAAGAAGCAGTGGCATAAGAAGTGCAGCTTGTCCAAATGATTTGCACTCTGCTTCTGCCCAGCACTGCTCTTCCCCTTGCAGCCCCATTCATCCCCATTGGCCCCAGATGAACTGCCAGCCTCTGACCCTTTGCACCACTGGGATGGGACCACACACTTTGTGGAAATAAAGAGATTTTGCTTATAGACAAGCTGTCTTTCAGACAGGAATGCCTTACTGGCCTACAGTAGCATGAGCAGCTGTGTGTGGCCAGCACATCACAAATGCTAGAAGTTAGGAAAGCTGTCTGCAATTTCATTTCCAGGGGGAGAGAGGACAGGGAATTGCACAAGTCCGATAGCTGCACTCATCAAGTGCTTAACTATCACAGTGACAGAAGTTTTCCTCTTTAACTGCATTCTAAGCATTACAAATAGAGGCTAGAGTTTTTGTGAGGGCAAATATACCTTACTCTTAGCATTGACATTTGTGTGTTTGCTCCCCTGTTGGCACAAGTCTTACATCCTAGACTGGCACATCTCTGAGACAGTCATACTCCCTTGCATGTGATTACTAAAAGTAAGCTGGAGATTTGCCTTTGAGTTCTGTGCCTTTGGTGTCACCCAAGAGGTACGACAGCTTACACTTCTGAGAACAAATGTGTTACCTTTCTGCTCAGCCATCTCCCAGAGCTCATGGGCTGCCTTAGCAGACAAAGCCATGGGGTACTCAACAAGGACATGTTTCCCAGCTTCTAAGAACATTCTGAAAGGGATAAAAGATCAGCCATTAAAAAGAATATTATCCTAATCCTCTCTCACCATGCAAGCTGTTTCTCATTCCCACAGGCAGCTTCACATGGAGAGATGCACAACATGGAGTAACAGGAATAAAGGGCACCTTTCCTAGGAAGGATGGTGTGGTGGCTACATCACGCACTTAAACAGCAGGGGAGGGGGGTTTTAATTATTCTTTTGCCACAGAATTCTCTCACTCTCATCAAGTTGCTAAAATGCTACAGTGTTGAGCACTGCAATTCCCGGCTTACAGATATGTAAGCAGTAGGAGTGGGGCACTGGACTACCCTTCCACAATATAATCTGTGAGGAAAGGCTTTAAATCCTGTTTTAAGCTGCCTGTCCATCAAACACAGGCCTAGAGGTGTGGAAATGGAATTACTTGGGAAATTAACGCATCTTAAATCCTACTCTCTTCCAGGGCTTATTGGTGCTCTAGGGAACTCACTATCATTCACTTCAGGCCTCTAGTCTGGCAGTCTTTCCTCAGTGTTCATATCTTCTCCTGCAACAGCTTTACACAGCTCCTCTGTGCTCTTAAAATATAGGGGAAAGGGGAAAAAGAGCAGGGGGAAATTCCCCCCAACATACCTGATGGTTTCTTCATGGCTTTTGTTCTCTGTGCTGATGAAGGCTGCATGGATGTCTTTGTTTCTCAGAGCATCTTCCAGGCTAATCTGCTTAGCCTCATTAATATTGCCAAAACTTCTCCTGTATATTTAGCATAAATACAACCAGAGTATAATTGTCATGGTCCATTCTTCCCAACCACATGTTGTGTAGCAGTACTTAAAAATTGTTCCCATGGACCATTGAGTTCAACCACGGTATAACAACCAGTTCCTTACCTAGAAAGAGCATGAGCACTTACAGACAAAAGTGGAATGGAGAAGAGAACCAAAAAAAAAAAAAAAAGGACTAGTGTGCAGGTGGTGGTATCAGTCCAGAAACTGGCCTGCTATTGAACTGTCAAGTCCTTTTGTTGTTTGGTGTTTTGGTTTTTAATAAGCACTATTAACAAAGAGATGTTGTAAAAGAGTGACTTGCAAGAGGACAGTGCTCCTATGGGAGAACTTCTCCCAACCATCCTGGATGATGTGGACAAAAGCACTCGAGATGGCAGGGATGCACACAACTGCAAGTACAGACAAGCAGGAGAAGAACAAAACAGATGCTTGGCTGTGATGGCTTACCTTGCAACACACACAGCATGTCAGTGCTAAGGGGAAAGCTCTCTTGGGCAGTAAGCTGAGCACAGCTCCAGCTGAAAATGAAAAACACAATCCCTCCAAAAGCCCTTTGCATTACTACTGGCTGGAGTAGGCACCTTGATAATGTTAGGATAGGTGACAGAGGGCAGGAAGGCATGCCACAAGCAGGACTTGAAAGCAAAGACAGGTTGTGATTGTGTGTAATGGGGATCCAAGGAAGATTACTGTGAATCATGCATTTCAACAGCATTGTTTCTCAAAAAAACAGTGGTGGAAACCCTATCTTCAGTGCTCTTCAAGGTTACCTGTAGCACTGGCAGAGGCATCAGAGAACCAAAAGAGTGTATTTGGTCGGAAGCTAAAGTGTGTGACCTGATCAGTCCTTTCAGTCTCAAACAACCCTGCACAATTTAAGTACAGCTGGAAATATACATTCACAATCTGACATACACTAAAGGTACTGCCTATTTCAAACTTTTATGCTCCACTGTAATGGGTCAGACAGCACAGCAGGACTGCCCAGAGGAAGGTCCACTCTACATTTCCACAGCTCCAAACTAGTGAGAAAAACTCTTGTTCTTTAAGAAGCATAAGAAGGATAAAAAGCAACCTTATTGCATGTAGCAAATCATGGGATTTTCTTTAGATATCTACAGGTTCAATATCTGGTTAAAAAAAAAATACTAGAATTTTATTATGAAGTTGGAGTACTGGGAGCATTAAAACATGTTTTTGCAAAAAAAAACTTTTTAAAACTCCATATAACTTTTTAAAAACACTTTTAGAAGTGTCAGGCAGACACAAGATCATTAGCGCACTGCACTACCTTAAATCTACAAGAAATTTCACTCAGACAATTTCTTTTTATCACGAAGATTTTACAGCAAGAACATCTCTCAGTTTTTATTTTAGTAATTTCTGAAAGATATCTCACTAGGGTAACCTATTTGTTCCCTCTTGCAAAGCTTTCTGTGCTCACTTCTCAGCTGCCACTCAGAATGACGGGCATATTTGCACAAACTTTCCCTTTTTGGCTTGAAAAAGAAGAAAAAGCATTGCAATACAGACATTAGACAGGCTACGACGAAATTTCTAACCTGGATACAAATCCAAAGAGTTTCAGGTGCTCAGAAGGGCTGGAAGGCATCGGATTCATCAAGTCTCGGATTCGTGCTAATCCAGCAATTCCAACTCCAACCACCACTGTACCAAACATTTTGCTAATCTGTCCAAAAGAAAAAAAAAGGCAATTTTTTTTTTTCTTGTAACAGGGACAGGTGCAACTGGGAGAGAAGGTGTGAGAATGGATACTCTTGATCCCTGCTTTCATAGCACCAAACCTTATTCAGGTGTCAGCAACCAACAGAGATGTGATGCCATAGGCTACTGAGCTCACTCACATCCCATTGAAATGGGATCCAGCAGTTCAGCCTGTCATAGGACTGGTCTTGAGATTTGTATTTAACAGCTCTTAAATCACAGCTCCAGCAAAGTTCTTCCTTTCCATGAATAGAAGGCAGACTTCAAAGGTGAGACATTATTATATTTATATTGCCACTTCCAAGCAGGAAAGGAGCCAAAAGGTTCTGCAAACCCAGCAGAGCTTTATATAAACCCTGCTAATTTCCTGAGTGCCTGCAGCACAGTGCCACACACACAGTTCCAATGCTCAGCAGCATAGCTGTAATACTTTGGGACAGGAAGCAGAGAGCATCTTTGCGTTCCCCACATAACCACCAGCACATCCTACAATGCCAAGATGTAACCAACCACTGAATTTGACCAAGATGCTTGCTTGACATTTCCATGCCCAAAGAAAGCTCTGACATCTCTTTAATGACAAGCAGGCATCTCTTTAAGATTTACAACTCCCAAATGCAATTGCTGACACAATTGCATAATATAGAGGGTGAGACAGGTATTGCACTCACTGGCTCAGCTGCTGGGCCTCTGGCAATAAATTCTTCAGTTGGTTTTATGATTTGCTGTTGATCTGCGGAAGTACTTGACAACTGATGAAACCTTTCCAACCTGCACTGTTCCAGCACTCTGGGGACTAGCAACACTTTGAAAATTAATTGAAGATTTACAGGAAAATGGCCTAAAATGAGCCATGTCCGATCAGACCCTCTTCATTTTTTGTTCCTTCCATCTAATGAAAGCATCCCTTCAATCGCTGTTTCTTGTTTCAGTCTTCTTCCTGCCACTGCCAATCCCTTCATTTGAGTGAACTCTTTAGATTGTTTACACTACTTGGCTGCAGCCCTTCACATCTTTCTGAGATTGAGATGGGTAAATGGACAACCCCACTTAACCCTCCTTGTGCCTCTTGTCTGACAGGATCACAGTGCAGCAGAAAAGCCATAAGTGACTGTTTTGGCAGTGCAAGAGGTTGACAGCTGCTGGCACAAAGGAAAAAAGATCCCCTCTCCAATCACATGCCATGTCTGTATTTTGTTTTACTTTAAGCTCCTGCCTACGGCGTTGAATGCCACTCATTTTACATATGCCAAAAAGATACAAAGATAAAACACAGAGCAGCATGTTTAGTGTAAGAAAATAAATTAGTGATATATCAAAGAGTTCTCTAGGGGAATTACAGTGACATTTTATTACCAAGTATTTGAGGTATGGCACGATGACATTATTCGCCAGGGAAGAAAAGTGCGTAGGGCTGAGGGGGGGGGCGGCCCACAGGCAGAGTCCTGGTCTGGGCTCTCCATCACATTTGCTTTTCTCTGTGGCCAAAGAGAAAAACAGACAGACTTGTAGAATGACCTCAGCTGGAAGTAGCCTCAGAAGGTCACCCAATCCAAACCCCACTCAGCTGACTGTCCCCATGGCTGGCAATCCTTCAACCTCCCATGCCCCTGCCACAGTTTGACCACTGTCACAGCAAGAACTTTTGTTAGTATTGTAAGGCTCCAAACAACCAGGATCAATGAGACTTAAAAGGGCTTATGGTTGTCCACGTACTCTGAGTTAGATGCACAAGAGAAAGAAGCTATTCTCAAGAGGTCAAAACAACAAAAAAGATTTTACTTGCGACTTTAGAAAATCAGACAAATTTGGCAAGTTCAGTGCAACATTCAATCAACAGGTAACAGTTTTTAAAGCATTAACTTGGCTCATTCAACTTTGCAAACTCAAAGACAGTTCAATTTTAAGTTGCTCAAAGGTCCAAGAAGTGGGAATTAGGAGAGCAAGAAAGAAAGAAAACCAGAAAAGGTAGAAAAAAATCAAACCTAGATACCAGCTCCTGGGTTCCAGCGGTGTACAGACAGGCATTCCAAGAGTCAAGACATCTGACTGCCTTGTGTTGGGCCTTAAATACCCCTTGGCCTTCCTGGGCCCTTCCCCCAGGTGGGACTTCTGGTCATTTGGCCACTCAGGGCTAGGGGCTCCAGAGGTGGGGTGGAGCATCACCTCTGGTGTGCCGGGGACTGGCAGCCACTGCCAGGCTGGGATACAGGCTCTAGGGTGTACAGGGTAGGGCACTGCCCCTTCCTCCACACACATGCAGCCCGTAACATCTCGAGACATCTCTTTCTATTCTCTCACAAGTCCAGCTTGAAAAGAGCTGATCAGGAGCTTACTTTTAGGTCAGAAATTTTCAAGGTTAGTGGAGTGTTAAGCTGTTAATATTTTCCCATTGCCTTCAGCGGGATTGGGAGTTGGAGTTCTACAGCAAACAAATTCCCCTGAACCTCCTACAGTCATGTTTTTTCCAAGAATTTTTTTTTTTTTTTTTTTTGCTGGTGAGCTGCTGACCTCCGCTTCAACAAAGTGGAGAAAGTGGAGGAGCTGACTACTTTCTTCAGGGAACAAAGAATGTCTCTCTGCAGATGCTCAGGTAGCTGAACATCAATATTTTTGCCTCTCCTTTGAAAAAAGAATTTTCTAGTTTCTTCTGATCTCCTCAAAACTAACATTTAAGAGAAGCAAGATGATTTCAACCTAAGAACAAAACCTGTTACTGTGCAACCTGTTGCCATAGCAACCAGCCATTTGGTCCAGGTCAAGGGTTCAGTGGCTAATACACTGAAAGAGACAGATATTAAATGCATGTTCTGGAACCTTTGCTTACACACGTAGGTAAGAGAAAAACTGCTGTGTTTGCATCCCTGCTGCGGCTTTTTATTACCCTTATTTTGCTCACACACCAAAATCTGCAGCTGCTCAGAGAGAAAAGTGAATTAGGTGTTTTTCAGAACTTTTTTACAAACCAGGTAAGAGCAGAATACAGAATTCTCATCTGAGAGCCCAGATGAATATATAAAAGTTTACTTCTTCTTTCAAATGTTTACAAGAGGACAACAGCCACAATAATCTTTCAAGTACAAAAATGATGAAGTAGGAAACCCAAATTACAAACTGCTCTGCCTGCCTTTCACACCTTTTTTCTTAAAATCAGTGATCTCTGTTAAAGCTTAAATAAAAAGATTTCAGAGGCATTTTGAAGGCTGATGAACTTCGGTTCCTGTCATACTGAAAAAAAAGTCATTGTAAGTGATGCAACAGGATCCAAAAGCATTTTCTCCACCCTTTGCTAACTGGCTGTATGAAAGCAAAGAGAGCTGATGAGAAGATTAGGAGGTGTCTTTCATGCTCACATGCAGTGACTAAGGAATGCCTCTCGCATCACAGCAGCACCCACCCTGGCCGGGTTGCAGGCAGCCTTGCCAGGCTCACCACTGGTCCCCTCTGAATGGGGGCAAGGGGGATGGATGGTGGCTGCCACAACTGCTGTAGAAGCTCTTCCCCACTGACAGCCAGCACAAGTGGCTCCTCTTACCAAGGGAGATGAGCCCTGCATGACACAGAAAAAGAGCTGAGAAAGGCAAATAGCTGAAGAGGATAATTTATTCTACAACAATATATTATTGTACCATCACCCCTCTGCTGCTGAGCTTTCTGCACTTCTGCTGTGTATTTCCTGCATAAGCAATTAACAAAAAAAACAAACAAAAAAAAACAATAACAACAAAAAAAAAACCCCAAATATTCTTGCAAAATTTAGCAGCAAAACAAACAATGGAGTAAGTCCAAAGAAATCCATCACCCAGCACCAGTGTTCCCCCCCAGCGCAATCACAAGTGGGACCCAACATCTCAAAACTGCTAACACTCACGGAGATAAGCCTGAGGGAAGTGAGGCTTACCTCTATTTTGTGCAATATCACTAAGGCTATGCAAAGTAGTGCAGAAGCAAGCTAAAAGGCAGAACTTAGGAATTATCTCTCCTTCAAGAAAATTTCTCATGGCATGTCTAGATGTTACAGAATTAGTACAAGCACCTTCTCCCATGATCTATAAAGAATTTCAGCAAGCCTCCTGCATTTTCCCTGCAGTTTACAAACTCTTGTTCCCAGAAATATGAATGAGTGACTCACATAATGTCACAGGCAATAACATAACACTGATGCAGGAGGCTTTCCTGAAGCAATCTCAGCCTGGTGTTTTAAAGCGTACTGCTTAAAGTGCCACATGCATCTTAAGAGTAGCAAAACCTCACAGATAAATATTTAATCTGAAAATACTGTTGTCAAGTACCACCAGGGAACACCAAAGAGAACCCAGGACAAAAGAACACATATGTAAAGGGGAGGGAAAATATGTTAATGATTTCTGGGAAATTATTATCATATGTACGTTTTTTCTGGGAAAATCAATGAATATATATGTAAAATATAGTATACAAACAGGACCTCTTCTGTATTCAGCATGCATGATTTTTGGAGGAGATATCTCCTTGTGCATCTGGCCAAATAAAGAATGCCGGTTTCATGATGCTACTGGCGTTGAGGAGTTTTTATTTTTACTGATTTTTGGTAGCAGACTGAGGAAGTTTTCCAGCACTCCCTTCAGATGAAATTATTGTTTAGACATCATAAAAAATACTTCCTCTCTTACTGCAGCAGAGCCCTGAGATGAGGGCTGTGGAACATTCCTCAACAGAAGTTTAGAGGGAAACACCAGACAGACAACAGACAAGATGAAAATCTGAGGTTTCTCTCAGCCCTAACTTTCTGATTTCAAACACCCAGAGACCTGGTGGATGCCGTACTCAGGGTGTTGGTACATGCTACAACCTGCGCCACCACATCTTGCTGTCATTGTCTACCCTTAGCACGAAACCTCTGCCCAGAGCATAGAAAGCAGAAGCTAAACAGAGTGGATTCTGTTAATGTTGTTAGTGTTTCCTTTCACCAATGAAAAACTCACAAATACTCCAATTTAGCAGCCTATCCAAAGGCATAAATACCTTTTTTTTCTGCAGGAAACCAGTTACGCACTTCTGTATATGCTGAAGTACCTCCTGGAAGGAGACCCTGCACAGGTTCCTAACTGAAGATCTTAAATAAAAAGGCAAAAAAAATTATTGTTTGAATTCAGTTAGCATGATGGATTATTTTTGCTCTGCTTTTACTGCAACCTAGAGAGAAAAGTAAAGTCTTCTGCAAGAAAAAGATAGCCAGAAAGGTAACCCCCAATGCTTTTCACCACTTCTCTTCAAAACATTAATTGAACATAAAACGAGAAACAGAAATTTTCTCAAAAACCTGCCAAGACCATCTACATTATCCACATTTCAGAGGAAAACAGCAGCACCTGGAAATAATAGAGCAACCATGTAGATTTTCCTTGAGAGTTGTTTGTTATGGACTTAAATATCTGCCCTGCCAACAGCTCTTCATCTCTCCCACCCATCTCTCTGGCCATCACAACCCAGGCCACAGCCTTCTGACAGGCACACCAGCTCTTGCTGAGTGAGTTATAACTTCAAGGCACCAATGCTCACAGAGGTTTGCCAGCAGAAAACAATCTCTCATCCTAACTGGCACCACTGTACTTTGGAAACAGCCAGAGGGGACTTTTCTTCCTGGCTTTTAAATGCCACTTGGACAATATGCCTGCATTGTTTCACATTTATATGCAGGTTCACCAATGAAATTATGGTTTTCCAGCTGACTGCTAAAGTTGAAGTTGATATAGTTACACTGATATATGGACAGATGCTGTGTTAAACTGCCAAACAAGCACCTTTACTCTATTCAGCAGATGGCTGATAATAAAGAACTGCAGTTGTACCAGATATGCTGTCTCCGGCATTAATACCTGAGCAGGAGGAAAACTTTTATTTAAACACAGTTCTGCTAATCCCAGAGTCTGCAGTGGTCCTGACACCCATCACATGGCTGCTTTCCACAGCCTCCAACTCCATATTTGAAGCAAAATCATCTCATAAAAGTAATATAAAACCATGAGAAGTACTGAAAAAATCTGAAGACCTGGTTTTAATATGTGACATATTCCACACTGCGGAGGACTGAAACAGAAGGTCTGTGATGTACATGCATGGCTAAGAATGACCATTTTGTTCTGTTCTCTTGCCTGTAGTCACCCATTGTGATTCAGATTTGGTTGCTAGTCTGAAGAGGAAAAACACTTTTAAAATAGCTTCTCTACATATCTCTGGGACTTATCTTCAGTCAGGTTCATTTTGTTTGAAACTCAAATTACATTTCAATATACCTACACTGTTAAGTTTGAAACTACCCAAGATAGTACTGAGCCTGCTTAAGGGCACCTGAAAAGTTAATTCAAGATAGACATGAAGGTCTCCAGTTTTTATTTTATAAAAATATCTCCTTAAAAAAAATTAAACTGTTACTTATAATAAGTTTCCAGGAACTGCTCTGGACTGAATTGCAGAATGTCTTGTGAAACTTCTGGTGGGTAAATAAACAATTGCATATAACTGCAGCCTCATCACTGCTACTTTTTAAGCAAAGAACTGCTTTTATGTGGCTAATTAGCATATGCCTAAAGCTAAGAGAGCCACAAAATGTCCCCAAAATTTCTTTCAGGCTTTAATGATCTATAACAGTTTTTGAAAGTGAATTTGACACAGAGAGAAGAGAGAGAAGAGAGAAGAATTTTACACAAGCAGCAAGTCAATTGCTTTGCAGTAAAGTCCATTCAGGAGAATGGAGTGGTTTGGAGCTATCAGTGATTCACAGATCCTAATTTTCCAGGTGACCAAACAACAGTATTGCTACACTACTGATCTGTGCCTGAGAAAATAACCCTGAATAAAGCTAAAAATACTAACTAAAAAAGTGGGGAAAAAAGCATGAAATATCCTTCACTACATTTTTGACTTAACATCTGCATAAACACTAAAGCTATCACTAAGCTGAATCCTGCCAGGTCCCCAGTCCCCTGGGGACTATGAACCATGTCCCCTAGCTTCCCTGAAGAGCAATAAAGCCCCCAGAGTAGTCTCTGCAGAGCTAAGTGTCTGAACACCAAGTACTGAGACTCTGCTAAATACCTATTTCATACAAAGCAACTGCTATTTCATGCTTACTCTTAACACTTTAAAATTGAGAGCTTTTTGTGTTTGGGTTTTTTTTTGTTTTTTGGTTTTTTTTTTTTTTTTGGTTTTTTTTGTTTTTTTTTGTTGTTTTTTTTTTTTTTTTTTTTTTTTTTTTTTTTTTTTTTTTTTTTTTTTTTTTTTTTTTTTTTTTTTTTTTTTTTTTTTTTTTTTTTGTTTTGTTTTGTTTTGGATTTTTTTGGTTTTTTTTTTAATAAATTTTGAGAACTACTCTTCCATACCTTCATTTCTGGGAAAACTGCTCAGAGCTAACCACAAGAGGTGTAGATGACAGGACAGCCCACGAGACACGCCCAAGAATCTCAGCCCATTCCCTTCCCTCACTTATGTCGCTCATTTGGTTTTTGCTGTGTCACCTACTGAGAGAAGAGGCTTCTCCACCTCACTTGATAGATTGACAAGTGCTTTGCAGATAAAATCTGATGTCAGAAGAGGCTTCCAACCTTTTGTTACAATACAATTGAAAATGATGATGAACAAATACAGAAAAATGTTCTGAAATATTTTCTCACTTACTACATCTGCCCCTGAATTTTCCTGCCAATTACTGCAGTCCTTTCTACAAGCTCCTTCTTCTTCAGAGGGCCTAAAGAATGCAGAGCTGGGCTGGGCAAAAGCAGGAAAGCTGCATTTCCAGGCTGTATTCTTACTTTCTCATAGAAGTTCACTGGTTGACCCAAGGCAAGCAAATCACACCCCCTTTCCTATCAGTCCCCAGTTCCAGAACAGTGAGAACCTCTTTCTTCTGTAAAGCACTCTCAGACCTACTGACAATAACTGCAAAGTGAGAAGTAGGTACCATTACAACCTCTCTTCTTCATGACAGGAAATCCTATAAAGATCAGACATATAGAAAATATGATTATAACTAAAGTTTGCACTGAAATATCTATATAAAACAATGCCCTACAACAAACAACAAAACTATAGGTTTCTTCTTTTCTTCTCTTGTTGTTAAATTAATCTGAAACCCAAATTCTAAAAGGAATTATATGCTTGCCTAGCTTTAATCACAAGTAATCCCATTGATCTCAATGAGAATACTCCTACAAGCCCATTAAGAAATATCTCTTGCTGTTGACTGCAATATTAGTATGCACAAGAACTTATCCAGCTACAAGTATGTTCTTTTAATATCCTTATGGACTCAACCCAATAGATGATACCTATCTTCCGGTCCACTAAAGGTCACTGCATCCCAGATCTCTAACAGGCTGACCTATTTTGAGAATTCCCCAAATGAAAAAAGCACTCCTACTACACACCACAGTCACTATAAAGATACTGCTTACCATGGCTGATGACACCCTCTGCCTGCATTGCTACCATGACAGCAGCTCATAACACTGAAGACCTGCCCCATACTCTCTTCAAAGAAAACAATATACACACAGAATTTAGCTAGTCAGACAAGTGTCCTTTTTTTAGTTTTCTCATCCCCTAACCTAGAAAAAAAGTGTTCACCCTTCTAAAATAGAGGGTGATATAAAATTGTTTTTTCATTAATAACTAGATTGATATAAGTTATGAAATAAACTTTTGCATAGTGTTGTAATCTTAAAAATTATGCCCTATCACCTCTGTCATTTTATCAGTCTACCACTCAGTAGGATCTGCAAAATGCAACGGTTGCTCTCCATTCCCATTACCTTTTGGAAATCTATCAATGTCATAAATTTCTTGAGAGCAGGGAAAACCAAAAGGTTTTGAATAAAGAGTAATGATTGCAGTTACTCCCTCCTAACTTTAGAGCTCAGTATTTTTCATCTTAATGGGCAACACAACACTTAAGAATCACAAAGGCCAGCCTCTCTCTCATGAAGAATTAGTCTGCAATTCAATGCACTTTAGCAGTCAAGTAGTTGCAAGGTGCTACTTATCTGTTACATTTGTCCTAAGAAAGCAAACACCTTTTTGGAGGTTATCAGCCACTAGAGGGGGTATTTGGTATCTTACCGAAAACATGATTAAAAAGTTTAAAAAAACAAAATCATGAAGGTTACAGAAAACCTCTAAAAGCATATTTCCCATAGTACAGCAACCGCACATTAGGTTCTATGCGAAGTGTTTCAGGAAGAACAACGCTTTACTTGTGTATAACTGAATACAATGCAAAAGCAAGCCCCACATCTCCCAATGCCTAGGTTTACCCACATCAAACCCTGCAATTCCTGCAAGAAGAGATGTAGTTTTATATGCCAAGAAGATGGCTAAAATACCATTCGTTTTGATTTGACTGTACAGTTGGTCAGCTCTGAGCATGCCAAAACCTGAAGCTTTAAGCATGCCAAGGTAGAACCTGACATGCTCAGGGTTAATACACAAGCAAAAGAACAACCTACAAATTGGTTCCTATTTACAACTGTTTGCCTCTTTACAGATTCACCATTGCCAGATTTATTGTTCCATAAAGTCTCCAAAAGGACCCCAAAACACTGTCATCAAATTGGTCCAACTTCAAGCAAAGTAGAAGATTCTACTTGGCCAAAGCCACTCCAAAGCTACCTATATTTAAAACATGTCTAAAGAAAGATAAAGATATATTTCACTTGCTGAAGATGAATGCACAATAAATACAAAACTCAAAAAATTATTAACTGACTTGATGATTGAGTTCACACACTGCCACTAGCTGAAGAAGGGTACAGGATTGTGCCAGGATATTAACAGCATCATAGCTTCTACATACTTCGTTAAATCTCATCAGTTTGGGACCAGTGAAGCTGCTGGCAGCTTCAAAGACTCTCTCCAAAAATCTGTGTAAAAATAACTGTAATTGGTTGATAGACTTAAACACCAACCCTGCCTTCTTTATTTCCTTACAGTCTGCCTTCAAAGATGTGAGCTAGAAGGTTTTAGTGAAGCTGTCTGTTCAGAGGAGTATTTTAAATACACAACTTACTCAGAACCAGCACGGCCATGTAACTGGGATAAGAGAACCCAGTATCACCCTTC